GTCTTAAATCAAAGATCATAAAGAATGACTCCTCTTGTGCAGCAACTCAGTCAGAGAGTACAAATCAGTTGGCATCCAAACCAGTTTCAGCAATATCTGGTGTTTCACTATCATCTCCAACACAGTCACCAGCTTCCACAACTCCTCAAGGTGCATCCACTTTATGCTCATCTCAGAAACCCAAACTGGCTAGACAATCCCCAATGTCACAACAGTCCTATGTTTCTTTAACATCTGCTGGTTCTACTACTATAACTTCAAGAGACTCCTCAAGTGTAACCTCCAAATTGGCCTCTCCAGTTTCTCAGCCAGTAGATACACATGGTAGAAAGTCATCTGAGCAGTCTGGTGGGTTTTTTAACTTTTTCAAGACAGCAGTGGGGATAGAGGAGGTAAGGTTAGATCCCTCTAAATCTACTCGGTCAGTATATAGACAATCAGAGAAAGATGGATCTGCTTCTGCTGGCATAACATATTCATTAAGAAATCAAGACAAAATGGGAAAGTCTGGCCTTTTGGGGTCAATAGGTGATATTTTTAAAATAGAACATTCTGCCTCACACGTGCAATCAATTTCTATAATAAATGATGAAAACAAAGACTGCTGCCAAACAAAAACAATGCCTAAAGAAATTCAGAAAAAACAAACAACAAGTATCTCTGGACAATATGGTCAGTCAGAATTACCTAGTGTATCACAGTCATTTCAGGGAAGGGGTGTTTCAGCATCTCAGATATTTTCCCCTAATGCTAAAAAGGTACCAACGCCAGGAAGATCTCAAACTATGCCACCAATTGGGGAGACAAAACCAGAAGCCCCCTCCAAGCAATCTGGTGGTTTGTTTGGTTTCTATGTTGGGGATATGTTCTCTGGGACCACAACCTCTAAAGAGGAAGGCAAAGGGCTGCTGTCAATATTAGGTGGTTCCAGTCAACCACAAGCTCCATCTCAAACTGGATCTGCCTCTCCTCAAGAATCAATGGGCGGTGCATCTGCAAAAGAGCCACTAGGCAAAAACATCCTGACTTTGTTTGAAGGTTCCAGCATGCAACAGACTTCACCACCATCTGGATCCTCAAGTCAAGTGGACACACCAGGATCTGCTCCTCCCAAAGAGACTCAAGGTCTAAATTTATTTTCTGTGTTCAGTGGCTCTAGCACACAGCAGTCTTCAACACTACTGGGTTCTTGTAATCAAAAACACACACCAGGCACTGTCCCTCCAAAGGAAACATCAGCATTGGGTTTACTCTCCATGATTAGTGGTTCCAGCACTCAGCAGACTTTACCTGGATCTGGAACTGATCCACTAAAAGATACACCAGTAGCAGGATTGCTATCTATGTTCAGTGGCCCTAATCAACATCAGACATCACAACCACGATCTACCACACAGCCTGCACCCCAAGGGAATAGGCAACAAAAAGAGCCCCTGGGGAAAAGTTTATTTTCAATGTTTGGTGGTTCAGGGCAACAACCTTCACAGCAGTCAGGATCAATTTTTGGTGGTATGTTAGGTGGATCTTCAAGCTCTACTAAGAGTCCAACAAAAGGTTTATTCTCTATGTTTGGAGCACAAAGCCCACAACCACCAACCACCAGAGTGCCAGGCACTGTCCCTACTAATGAGCAGACAGTTAAACATACTTCTTTGTTGAATGGGTCTAACTCCCAACAAACTCCACCACAACCTGTCTCTTCTCCTGCAAAAGGAGCAACTCTTGCAAAGGAACCAACTAATGACAGTCCAACAAAGGGTTTAGTTTTGGGGTCTGGAATAGCCAGCCACCCAACAGCTTTACAGGAAGGCTTGACCCCTGAGCCTGTTGTCCCATCAAATGAGCCATCAGTAAATCAAATACCCTCCTTGTCTAGTGGACCTAGCCCTCAGCAATCCCCACAACAACCAGATTCAGTGTCATCTTCTATTTCCCTTGATAGTAAAGAGTCAAAGGAGCCACAAGTTAAAGACTTTTTGATCACTGGACAAATTCCACAGCCAGGTTCTTCTCAACCCTCTTTACTTCTAAGTGGTTTGTTATCAAATGAAACCCCTGGTAAAGGTCTTTTGGCAAACCTCAGTGGGGCTATAAATCAGTCAAGTGAGACACTAGTTACACCAAGCTGTGATTCAACTGTGTCAGCAACAAAAGATCCACAAGAAATATTGACAGCTGTTTATGGTAGACTGGCATCTTCTGAATCTTTCAAGTCAACAGCACACCCAGAGAATTCGTCTGCTCAGGGAGTAGTACCACCAAAAGAGGGAGCGACCTCAAGCTTGTTGTCAATGTTTTCTGGGTCAGGTTCTCAAAATGCTCCTTCTCAGACTGGATCTATACTTGGCAAGATTTTCCCTGGTGCCTCAGGATCAAAGGAAATTCCTGGCAAAAATCTGTTTTCTATGTATTCTGGATCACGTTCACAGGCCAGTGCAGGTAATGCAGGGCCTAAAGTTGAGAGTAATAGTTCAGGGGCTTCTACCTTAAATGAGTTACCAGGAAAAGGTTTATTTTCTGTGTTTGGTGGATCAAGTCCACAACAAGCCACTCCTCAGTCTTCTTCACTATTAGGAGGTCTTCTATCTGGAGTTGCTTCTAAAGATGCTCCTGGAAAAGGTCTTCTTTCTATGTTCAGTGGGCCTAATTCAACACCTTCACCTAGTCCAACAGGGCCAACATCAAAACCATCTGAAACTGAGGGGCTGTTGAAGGTTGCATCATTATTCTCTCGAGGGGATGCTACTGAGGATAATAAATTAAAGACTGTGGGTTTTAGCATGTCAAATTTGGGCTTCATGGAGGAAAAGAAATCAGGACCCCAGAATGATGATTCCAAGCATTCTATTCTCTTGGCCGATCAAGAAAAAACAGCAGCCTCCATGGCTGCAGTCTCTGCTGATATTGCTGACAAAAGTTCAGATCACATTGTTGAGACAATTGCTGCTGAAGGGAGTAAGCTAGATGTTACCGTAAATAATTCTAGTTTTCATGGAGATGCTTTATCAAAGGATATTGATTCAAACTCAGAGCAGAGTACAAAAACAGTAATCCAGACTACAGATCACCAACCTGAGCATATTAAACAGACTGATTCAACAGAGCCCAATGCCTCTGGCTCTGAGGGACTTCCTAAACATCCTGAACAACAGAAATCTGTCATAGACTCATCAGCTGAAGCAGTCAGTGGCTTTATGTGTAAACTGTTTACTGGTGCCAATTCAGCAACAAATTCATCAGGTGGTCTCTTCTCACAAACACACTCAACCACAGAAAGAAACTCATTCGTTGGCCTTTCAAGTAGCTTACCCACGGAATCTCTCAAAAACAACCTTTTCAGTATGTTTAAATCACCAGAAGCACCCAAAGCAGCTGACATAACACCGTCTGTTTCCTGTACTCCTCAGTCTCTTCAGTCAGTCCAAGATCAGAATGCACATAATGATTCAATGTCACCTTCTGTGGATGTTGCATTGTCTGGAGACAAAGATGAAAAAAATAAAGTAGAAACACTTTTACCCGTGAAAGAAATGCCTGCTAATGATACTTTCAGTAATTTAACAGCTGAAAGTGTAGATCCCACAGCAGCTTCCAGCTGCTATCCAGGTGAAACAATTGTTAAGGAGCCTTCTGAGGGTGAAATAATACACGAGAAAACCATTGTCATTATTTCTGATCCTGAAGCAAAGGATACAGACCAATCATTATCTGGAATAGACAGTAGCTCAAAAGTAGCTCAACATCCTCCATCAACAGAACCTTCTAAGTCCATATTTGGCATGCCAAGTTTATCAGCACCCAAGTTTGGTTTCATGGCTGGAGCTGCAGATGCTGGAAAGTCTTTTGGATCTTTCTTTTCTTCACCACCCTCAATACCAAACACTGAAAGTGGCAAGCTTTTTTCTGGACTTAAGTCATTTTCAGCAGGTCTGTTTCAAGAGGAGAGGTCAAAAGAAGAAACGTCAACATCTTTGTTTGGAACAAAATTGGGTTTTCCATGGCAGAAAGAAACTCCAGAACCTCCTAAGCAACAAAGACCTCCAGTTGTTACAACACAGCCTAAAGCTCAGAAGAATAAAGTTCACATTGAGGATAGTACAACTACTGAAATAGAACATGACAATTGCATGTCAAAGGAAGAAAATTCTGAAATCACACACCCTGTTTATGTTAAACAAGAAATTGTTGCAAATTCTGAATTCCAAAAGAAAGAATTTGTTGTCCCAGAAAATGATACAAATAAACCCCAACTCCAAAGTTCATCCACTCCTGATCCTCATCTTCAAAAGGAATTGGAAATACATATACAGACCCCACCTTCTACAGATGACTCTTCAGGATTGCAGCAGGAAAAGAAGGACCTTTTGATTCCAAAAAGGCTAGTAGCAGCATAATAAATGGTTTCATAACCATTTATTTTGCACTAAGTTTACATGCACAGCCATGATTCTATTAAAAAAATCTCATTTGTATATTTCATGGTGTTTATTTAGCAATTTCTGGACTTTGGTATCTGCGATGAAATAATTATTAGAGTAGGACTTCTAGCAGTGCTCATGCAAATCTGCTGAACACCCCTTTACCACAAGAATTTTGTGGTGATTATTGAAATTATTTTAAAATAGAAGTAATACTAAAGTATGCTGTCTGAAATATTCAAATTCAAAATTTAGGGGCTCATTTTTTATCAGAAGATCTCAATATACTGAATAAGAATATTAATGTGCATGAAAACACGTTTACTGACTTTAGTTTTAGTTTTAGTTTACGAAAATGGTGGCTTTCCCAATGTGTGATTTGTTTCTTCTCAGTGTTATGTGATTTTTGTACAGTAACTGTGTTTTGGCTTCTTGTAACTTTGTATTTCCATTAGTTTTGTGTAGCATTTACTGTGTTTCTTAATTGGAGACTTGCTAAATGGATGTAGTTTAAAAAAATTCAGTTACTGTAACTCGCTTGTTGCTATCTTTCTTTGTTTCTTTTCTTTTCAACAACACTAGCCCTGTGGACTCCTGTCGTTTTGGATCTTCAGGGAACCTCAGCCAAGCTAGTTCTCAGCTCAGTGAGCCTGGTCAGGAGAGTGCTGCGTGTTCAGAGTTAGAGGAGTCCTACCATTCCTACCACAGTACCGGCTATCGACCATCCAGAAATGGACATCACCCTACCAATGGACATACTTCCTGGGGGGAAGATGAGGGATTGAAATCCTCCCAAGACAACGGAAGGGGTATAAGCAGCACTATAAAAAAGGAAATGGTTTCTAAAGTGGACAAAATGCCTGAAAAAACTCTCAAAGGGTACAGATATTGTACTGGCTTACAGTGATTTTCCAGTGTACATTTAGTATAATAAATATTCAATAGCATGAATTCATTTTCATACAATGTTTTATTTTTCTAGCTTCAGGGATGATGGAACGCCATTGCCATTCTCTACATCCAGATTGCG